TGCTTGGCTCAATACTAGAAAGTTAATGGAGAATCCATAATGAAAGGTATGTACTTCTAATTATAGTCAATTAAACTGAAGTCATTAATCTCACAATAATAATTAGCCTAAATTTATTATAAGTTTGTTCATGCAGTTTATACCCCTTTGATAATTCCTCATAAACCCAGGTCTCTACTTTTGTATCATAGAGATTTTGTAGGCAAGATGTGGTAAACTTTAATTGGAAGGTGTCAGTCGTTTTATTTTCCAGTCATGTATCTGCTCAATTAATTTATTTAGCTTGATTGTGTATCTACATGTGCCTACTTTTTACTCAAAATATCATGCATCCTACTCATGTTTAAGTAATAAATGGTTCAAAATAGCCTAAAAATAGTATAACATTTAATGTAGTCCACAGTACTCACATAACATCCAGTGATTTAGCCCTAGTGTATACAGCCAACAACATTCCTCTTAAAGAGTCAGATTGTTAAGATGATTTTCTTTAACAAAACATGTCAGATAGTCCACGCGGGGCTGCCATCTTGAAAAGCATCGATCTGATCCAGTACTGATATACAGCCTGGACCAGTGCTGACGAACAGACATTACTGTATCAGCTATGACTACATCGGGACTGAAATAGATACTGGTCCAGGCCAGAGCAACAGCCTCGATTCAGCAGTGATGGCCGTCGATGCTGGACCGTTATAGAATCAAACCTGGTCCAGGCCTGATACCCATCATTCTACGGTGGCCCAAAGCGACATTTCCTGTCCACAAGTGTCGTTTCCTGTTCACAAGTATCGTTTCTTTCATTTTCCTGTTCATGAACACATGTGTTGGCACGTGGTGGTCACGTGATCAAAGGAAAAGAAACTTGAGGCACGGGCGATTTGTTGTTTAGCTCGAAGTTTAGCTAGTTATCGAGCTAGTTGTAGTTCTTTGATAAAGTGAAAGGCTCTACAGACTACAGGACTAGTCCCATAATGGATTCTGAGCAGACTGAGCGTGAGTATTTTAGAGAGAGGCTTGCCGGAATGGGGATGACAAGCGCTAGCATTAAAATCATGGAGGAGGAAGGGATAGTAAGTGAGGGCATTCTCAAATCTCTCAGGAGAGAGCACATTAATAAGCTGTTGCCACTAATGAAAGTTGGGCAGCATGTGCTGCTTTATAGTATTTGGGATG